CTCCGGAAGCCTGCGTTTCGCTGCCGACGCCGGTTGCAGCGTTGCGAGGTGCGGGGGTAGCCGGGGGCGGGTCCCGAGGCCGCTGGCCTCTGCAGCGGGGGCTGCGAGGGCGGGAGGAGCGCTCAGCTGCTGGGCCAGGCCGGGCCGTCCTGCCCTGCCCTGCCCGCGAGCGGCTTTGCCTTCCCCGCAGCACTGGAAAAATGACGTATTAAAAGGTCCGGCTTATGCATGGAACGAGTCTTAGGTGATTTGCACGTACGTCAATGAACCATACAGACACACCGAAGCACTTTTGTTTTGCAAGTTGCGTTTCCTCTGGTTTAGCTCCTCTGGTCAACGCAGGACTTGTCAGTCTCGCCTTCCTTTAAGCTTTGTGACCACTTGTTGTAGGAGATGAGCTTTTCTTCCAGTTCCTGCGTGTGGGCCTCTTGCAGAGGTGTTCCTGGGCTTTGCTTTTCTCCTTTCTTCTAGAACGTGATATTTGCCGGCACCAAGTCACTTCCTTCTCTTTTTCGCACTTGTGTTTAGCTGCAGCAATCAGGTTTTTGCGGTCTTGATTTGCTGTTTGCTTGAGAACGAGGGGTTATCAGTGCATCATACTGCTTATGGCGGTGGATAGATGTACATTTTGGGCATGCCTTGTTAACCTCTGAAGCGAAGCAGAAAGTTGATGAAACTATCAAAACGGTGTTTGTTTCCAAAAACCGAAGCCCAACCAACTTAAACAACCCTTCCACTTCAAACCCACCCCCTTCCCCCATTATGTATTGTAGAAAAACAGTAGTTACTGCATGTCACAAAAATAATTGCTGGAGATGTACCTTTGGGGTGTTCTTTTTCCTAGGCAGCTTTTTAACCTCAGTTTAACCAAATATTCTTTGAATAATCCTATTGGCTTCATTTAGCTGAATGGATTTTTTCCCTCAGTCCCCCCATAAGTCACCAGAAAAGAACGTACCTGCAAAACCTGTAAGTGTTCGGAAAACGAGGTGTAAAAGTATGTGAATACTGTTCATACTTTGTGTCTTGGAAACTAATGTCTATCTGTTCCTTCAGGTGCTTCGCCAGTTTGTAAGACATGAGTCTGATACAGTTGGCTCATTGGTACTTGAAAGATGTAAGTAGCTCCGGAGATGAAACGTAGCTGTTACTCTTTGTGGTTTTTATCGTGGTTTTAGAATGGCTGAAATATGCCAGGAGAGGAGCAGTTAGGAATGGGAGCTCCTGAATGCAGTAACTAAGAATGTGTCGTTTCAAAGAGACAGACTCTTAAGTAGCTTTCTATCTGGTCTTTGTCAAGTCAAGCAGCCCTTAAGGGGGAAAAGAAAAAAGCCCTGACTTGAAGTACAAGCTGTAAAAGGCAGGTAGTCCTGCCTTATCAACGGCAGTGAATCTTGTATGCTGTTGTCATGTTTTCTAATACCTGCATTTAGGTGTCTCGTGCTTGTTTCTCAGACTCCTGTGTGCCTGGGGGACTTGTTTGGGTGCTGCTGCTGCCCCAGCATGATTTGCTCCAGCTGTACGCTTCAGACTTTACCATTCAGTTCACGTGCCCGTTGTGCAAGAGCGTTGCTCTCCCGACCTCCTCCAGTTGTCCTTCAACAAGGAGAAGGAATAAATTGTGTCCACCCAGTCCTGGTACCTGTGTAAAAACTAGTGACCCTCTAATTCAGAGGATGGGGTGTAATAATGCAACTTTGTTGTTTTAAAGGTATTGTTTTAAGGACAAAGCAATGCAATGCTATGGTTTTATCATCATGAAAAAAAAAGAAAGTCAAGATAAGTAAACGCAAAATAGTCTCAAGTGACATATGGATGTGTCTGTGAAAAAGATAACAAAGGAACAGAAAGAATGAAGAACCTTTAGCTTTCTAAATGAGCTTATTCAGCAGTGATGGCGATAGTACAGGCACAGTCAACCATCTGCAGGTCCTGAATAAGCCAGAAGTCACAAGAGCTTGAAAAATGGTTAGGAGGTGCAGAAAGTCATTGTTCTGGCCCTTGACAGAAGCTGACGACTTAGAACTTGCCATGATTAGAAGAATCATAATTCACCTGTATATGTATTTGCTCTTTCGCATTTCAGCCATGAATCGTGTTCAGTTACTTGGTCGGGTTGGACAGGACCCTATCATGAGGCAAGTGGATGGAAAAAATCCCGTTACCATATTTTCTCTTGCAACCAACGAGATGTGGCGAACAGGAGAAAGTGAGGTAACCCAGGGAGGTGAGTCTGCAATGAGCAACGTGCTTCTGCCGAGTTCTGAGGTCATGTTTGCATATTCAGTAGCACCACGCTTTGTCTTCAGGCTGCCATGTAAATCTCCTGGGTGCGGGGAAGTTCCTTTGAGGTCAGCAGAGATGCTGGTGCATTTCTGTGTTTCTTACTGATCCCCAGCAGCATGTACTGAATAAAGATCTGCATGTCAGCCTTCCTCTGGAGGAGAGGAAAGAGCGTTGAGTTCGCAGTTTTTCACTGCTGGAGTTGCCAGAGGTGTAGGGGGTTCCATACTGTAATTTGTATTTCAAGAGGGGGGAAAAAAGAACGATACATGTTCTCTTTGATTCTTCCATCAGTCTGCAGCTACAGATGTCTCTTTTTCTCTGACTTTTCTTCAATGTGGAGTGTGTGAGGGGAAAAAAACTCTAGTATGAGCACTGACTTCCAGGAAAACTGATCTCTTGGCTTGCACTGCGCTTCTGCATGATACTTTCATTGGGACACTGCTGAGTGGAGCATTGAGTTCTGGTATGGGGTGGGAGCTTGAGTGCTGGTACACTTCCGTTTTCACATCACTTTTCATCATTTGAGAACACCAACAAGTTGAAACTAATTTCTGAGGCTTGTGTCAAAAAGAGGATTTGGCATCCAACTTTATTATTTTTATGTAACTTAGGCGATATCAGTCAGAAGACGACATGGCACAGGATCTCTGTCTTCAGACCGGGCCTCAGGGATGTTACGTATCAGTATGTGAAGAAGGGGTAAGTGAATACCAAATGTGGTTGAGGATGCAATGCCTTAATAATCGATTGATGTAATAATTATGGTGACCAGGAGCTATACTAAGATACAAGTGCTATAAAATAAGCTAGTAGACGTGCTACAAACGAGTGAGGCAAATGCTTGTGTATTCAGAATCAGAGAGGAGAAAACAGCCATACAGTTCTCTGACCACAACCATATTCTTCATTTTTTCAGTGCTCGACTCTATGTTGAAGGGAAGATAGACTATGGTGAATATACAGATAAAAACAATGTTAGGCGGCAGGCCACAACAATTATAGCAGGTAAGGAACAACATACCAATGCCTACCTTGCCCTTTTAAAATGGAGAGGAGGTGGAGGACCTTTGAAATAGAGCTTGGTTTGTCCTCTTCCTCAGAATCCACACTTGGGGATTTTTGAGAGAATGAATAGGCTGTACCACTAGATGTCCTCTGGCACTGCTTGTGAAGACACAGAAAATGAGGGCATATAGTTGCAAACTGCTGCATAGTTTGTTCACACAAACGAGTTGGTGCAGCAGGTAGATACTGTTTGTTTTAAGAACACTGGTATGTAGTAGTGCAGGTCAGGCAGATTCCTTTTTGAAGCAGAGTTTGATTAGTAGCTTTATCTCGGTCTGGCAGGGAGTTTTTTCTTCCTGTTTAAGGCTGGAGGCTTCATCAACTTGAAGGACCTCTGTTTGTGAAAGACGTTTTAGGTGGGGATAAGTTGATGGAGGATTTAGATGGACCTCAGTCTGGTAGCCAGTAGTGGTGAGAAGAGCACAGAACAGCTAGGGAGTAGTCTTGTCCCTTGGGTAGACACAATGAAGAAGAGAACTGGGAAACTCAACTTTTTCCTTGAGCCTTTAAATAGCATGAGCGTCCTACATCTTCACTGTGGGTAGAGCCACTATCTTGTGGCTTTTGAGGGAGGGCTAAAATTATTGGGTAGTAGAGCAAACATTTCTGTTACACAAGTATATCGAAAAAAACTGGGCCAGAAGAGAAGGAAAAAAAACCCACCACAATTCTGGATGTTTCTGCTGTGCAGCCTCTTTAAAACAATTGAAATTTAAATGGGACTTTCACATGGAACAGTTCAGCTAGCAGTGCTGTAGGTTGCTGTGTATAAATAGCTGGAAGGGAGAAGCAAGTCCCTTTTTTTAATTAGTATTTATCCTAATGGTTTCTTTGTCGTGTTCAATATCCCCGTTCTCAAGATGCTTTAGAAATTACTGAGGCTTGATGAAATATGAGCTTCCTATAGTCCCATAGACTGATGACATAGCAGTGCATACTGAAAATGACAAAATAAAAAGGAAATAAGCTGTAACTGATAGAGATCATAGTCAAATAATTAAACCATTATTTTAAAATGTTTCTGGTACCTTTGACTGTGATCATCAGGTTTAGCACGCTTGTTTCATAGTATATATGGTCAGCTTTCTGGGGAGATAGAGCAAGAACCCTGTATCGGACACTTTTATTTTATGAACTATTCTGTTCCAAAATGCACATCTTTGCAGGTTATTTTAACACAAACAGGTTGTCATTGTGGGTGTGCAGGCTTGCAACAGGGCAAAACAATCCTGAAGATTAAATTTTCTTTATTTCTTTTCAGATAATGTGATTTTTCTGAGTGATGGTGGTACGAAAGAAAAGGTGTGAGGTCGTTAGTGCTTGGACCCAGGCCATTTCATTCCTTTTGTTTTACAGTGCTTCATAATTCTGTAATCGTGTATATTGCTGTAGTTTCTTTAAAAAATAAATAAAACGTTTGATACCTATAGGGTATCTGTGTGCATTTTGTTTTGTTTTCCTGTGTGCTTTTTCTCTGTTCATCATCGTTTGGATTTCTTTCTTTTTTGCTCTTTCTTAAGAGAAAAGGTAACCCAGGCAGCTGTATTAATTCTTGAGCTGATGAGTATAAAAATGGAAGTCACCCTTTGCATCTTCAGCCATTTTCAAACTTATATCCTTGGCTGTCTTAACAATCTCTCTTCTGCCTTGCGGGGCCTGGGAGCCTAATCACCTCTCACTGTTAACATCCCTCCTGTGTTCTATAGGTGTAATTTTCAGTTTTTCCTTAGCTAAGTCAATTAGACAGTAAGTTTAAACCAGAGCCATTGGCCTCAACTGGTGCTCAGCTTGAAGTTTCCCTGTCCCAGACCCGGAGAAGGCCGCCTGCACATTTGTGTCTGCCCCTCCACTGATCACAGCATTTGATCAAATCAGGTGTTGCATTTTACCAAACCCTGTTTTGGTCATGTGCTTAGGTCTTCATTATTACGGCATTTGACATATGACGACTCTATGATGACATCAACATTCTCATCCCCGTACCTTGTTCGGGTGCTATGCCTACCGTTTGCCATCAGGAGGAGCTGGAGGAATTGACTGCCTTGGCTGCTCCTTCTGAGAGGCCTGCAATAGCGTGTGAAGAACGTTCCGGGTCCAGGATTCTCAGTTACTGTGGGACTGGCGTTTATTTTGCTTTAACTTTGTTCTATCGTCAGAAAGACTGAGAATTATTAGTATTGTTAGTAATAAAATTGCACAGCTGAAAGGTGTTTCATTCTACATGGAGAGGTGGTGAAATTCCCACTGCAGCACAGTGTGATGTGAACAGGAAGAGAAAAACATCAGAGGTGACAATTTCCTGCCTTCAAAGCTGGTGGGATTTTGTATCTCCTCTCTCTCTGATTTATCTCAAATAAAATCTCAAAATTTATAGTATTTGCAGCTCTTTCCCCTACAGAATGATGATCTTGTTTGTGCTTCTCTCTCTGAGCATTGTCAGACTACCAAAAACTTCAGTTCTTTCAGTTCAGCATTTATTTCCGGTTGAGGTTAATGCTGTAACTAGTATCCTAGCGCCTGTCGCTGGCATACTGAGGTGTTAGGTGTACTGGAAACGCTTAGCTACTTAAATGGGTTGTCATCCCCAGGAGATTGTGGTATCTTTTTAAATAGGAAGTTCTGACTTTAATTCCCTTTGCTACTTCTTGTTCAGTCTGAGCCTGCTGTACTGCTGGGAGAAGTGGTGGTGGTGCACTCGTCGTGATGGCGCACAGTAGCGATCCAAATACAGTTTGTGTTCGGTCCACACAAATTTTTCCTGTTAGCTGAAAGCTGAGCTTTGTCTTAATCTTCCTTCATATCTAGGAGGCCTCGAGTGAATGTGCTAAGCCTCTGCTTGTTCAGTGGTTACCTCCTTTTTTGCACTCTGCTGTGGTGGTGCAGCTCAACACAGCTTATGACAGTCTCTGCTTTGGAGCTTGGGAACTGGCTTTCTGCTCCGAACTCGGAGCAGAAGTGGCAGCAGTGATTCCCGTCGCAACTGCACATGGAGCGGCCAGAACTGCCACAACTCCTCTCAGCGCCGGCTGAATGGCTCCTGCTAATCTCTGCCCCTGGCTCAGGATGGGAACAGAGCTGAGCTCTCACAAGGTATAGGATTAGGTGCCAACAAAGGAAAATATTTGCTCAAGAACTTCACCTTCTCTTGTTTTTCCGGTTGTTCTATTTAAAGTTGCTAGTACACTTTTAAAGATTGATCTGCTAAAAAGACAACACATACCTACTTTGAGAACACACTGTTTGAAAAGCGGTGCAGTATCTTGAGTGTTCCAGTGGGGTTTTTTTTATGGCTACGTACTTTCTCTGTGAGGAAACGTTAAAGAATGGATGTGGTATCTACGGAGTTAAATACAGCGATACCTTGTTTATAACTCAGCAATGAGTTTTTTTCCACGCTGTCCCTTGGTAAATGGCATTCAGCTTTTGCTTGTCTGTCTTAACCTCTTGTGTAAACTGGATTGGGCAAACCCTGATTGCTTGCATCAACTGGGACATTTAGAAGTGTTTGACCTTATCAAGGAATTTATTTTATGTATTTATGGAGATAGATTGGCAGAGATAAAAAATACAGATTATGTCTTTTTAAAATGACAGAGCATTTTAACTAAGTATTTGGAGCATTTCTTAACAGCTCTGAGACAGCTATTCTGGTCTGCAACGCAGCTCAATAGTGTGGTCAGCAGGACCAGGGAGGTGGTAGTGCCCCTGTCCTCGGCACTGGTGAGGCCGCACCTCGAGTACTATGTTCAGTTTTGGGCCCCTCACTACAAGAAGGACATCGAGGTGCTGGAGCGTGTCCAGAGGAGGGCAACGAGGCTGGTGAAGGGTGCAGAGCACAAGTCTTATGAGGAGCGTCTGAGGGAGCTGGGGTTGTTTAGCCTGGAGAAGAGGAGGCTGAGGGGAGACCTTATCACTCTCTACAACTGCCTGAAAGGAGGTTGTAGCGAGGTGGGGGTCGGTCTCTTCTCCCTAGTAACGAGTGATAGGACGAGAGGAAACGGCCTCAAGCTGCGCCAGGGGAGGTTTAGGTTAGACATTAGGAAAAACTTCCCCGACAGGGTGGTCAAGCATTGGAACAGGCTGCCCAGGGAAGTGGTTGAGTCTCCATCCCTGGAGGGATTTAAAGAACGGATAAATACGGTGCTTGAAGACATGGTATAGATGGACTTGGCAGGGATAGGTTAACAGTTGGACTCGATGATCTTTTGGTGCTTTTCCAACCTTGGTCTTTTCCAACCTTGACGATTCTATGATTCTATGATTCAATGCCACTCAGTTATTTCTGTCAGTCTGGTGTAAGGTGTAGGAAACCCTCTTCTCCTGTGCCTGTTTCTGTGGCTGTAGCGTGCTGGTTTGAGGGAGACACCACGGGCATTGTGCCTGTGTTACACAGCGAAGAACGTTTTCAACTTTAGTTGAAGTGTGACCTGTGTTTGAGAACACAGACACAATTCCCCCAACCCCACGTAATGTGGAGGGTAACGAGAGGGCTATTTCAGTGAAGTGGGACTTGATTTCTTTGGCCAAAGCATCTTCTCTTGCTTCTGTTTCATGACGCTCAATTTCTGGGGACAGAGTACCAGGATGAATTAAGATTGCCTGAGGGTTTGGGCTGGTACAGAACTACCGGAGCTTTTTACCAGCAGGTACCTGGCTTGGGTTCTAACCTAGCCGAAAGACTTGCACCCTGGTGACCGCAGGGTGCCCTGCGGGAAGGGGGTAGCTATTTGAGCCCGGACCCAGCTCTGCTGTGAAGCCCAGCAGTGCCTGTGGGAGCCTGGTAAAAGCCCATGCAGGGATGCCATGAATTGCAAAGGCAAGAAAGCTAAATTAGTGCTTTGAGAAGTCCCCAGGTACAGGAGGTAGAAATATTCTGGTAAAGGGAACTTGTGTTTCTGTCAGTGTACCCATTATGCGGTTTTAGTGGTAGGCTGTCTCCAGTACTGGCGATCCCACTTCTTTCACGAGTATTCATGTCAGAAAAGGAATATAACACCAGGATTGTGGGAAGAAAACGTCACTATTCTCAAGCACACCTTTTATTTTTAACTCTGAAATTTCTGTGGTGGAAGCCTTTTTGCCAACTAGTTGAGCATGTCTGTGCATACAAACTAAGACTTGGTGGCTGTTTCATCTTGGCGATGGTGAGCTTCTCTACACAGCAGTGTGATTTAGATCTCATTTACACATGAAATTTGCTTTGTTAGTGCATTACCAGGTACTGGGTAGTGCAAGTAATGTGTTTGCACATTGACACACAAAGAAATCAACTTTCACAGAGTTTCTACAGAGACATCCTCTTGTGGGAAATGTGTGTTAAGTGTGTGTGAGGTTTCTCTCTTCTGCTTGTTGCTTTACGTCCCAGGTGAAAAATCAGCACATTACCATACTTTGCCATTTCAGAACAATCTCCAGCAACTACGGTGATTAGAAATTGATTGCTTGGTCATTCTTTGTGTTTTTAGTCCTGAAGTTTGTGCCCTGTACTCTTTAAGAGGTGCGAAGTTTGTTGAAGAATCCTTCTCTAACTGTGGCCATTTTCTATGGCTTTCAAGGGGTAAGATTTTTCATTTGTAGCTGGTCCAAAACCTAGCAATTGTTATCCTGTAGGCTCTGTTGCTATTTGTTCTTTTCTTGCTGGTTGACTTTTCAAACTTACTTGAACAGAATGGCTGTAGAAAACGGATGGTTATCTTGATCCTGGTTGTCACAAGTCAGAAAAATGTCACCTGTAAATATTTAATGAGCCTTTGTGCAACTGACCTGATCGAGAACTGAGTAATGCTGCGGTCGCAGGAGTCGTGGCTTCTGTAACCCGGATCCGCAAGGAAAAGAGAGCACCTTTCCTTTGCCAGGCTTTCTGTGACTTATTAGGCTTGTATTATTGCTAACTTTTTTCTTTGCTATTTAGAGTAAGTGGTGTTTGTTTGGAGCTCTGCCGTAACAGCCTCCTCTTTCTTAGCTAGTTTGTTTTTCTGTGTGGGTTTTCTATATGTTTTTTCTGCGTGGGCTTTCTGCTCCTTGCAGAAAGGCAACAGCATGCTCAGTAAAAGAAAGCTGAACTCCTCTCCCGTCAGCCCTATTGCTGCAGACAATAAACCCCCACCTTTTTATCTTCTTGTAGGTTGTCGGTCAATTTTTGCTCTGTCCCCCTGTGCTGGAGAGTGAGTTCAAACCCAGTTCAGAAGTCTGTGGTGAGGAAATGGTCTTACACAAAAGGAGAAATAAAACTTCTCTCAGAATTAGACGCGTTGGAACTTAAAAATACTACTAAAGCTGCCCAAGCAGGAAAGTTATGAAACACGGAAAAACAGCCTGTGTTTTCAGCATGCTAGTAACTATGTAAATCTACACTTAAAATCCTCCAAGCAATATGGGAAAAAGTTAGGAGGACAGTTGTGTCTGTATAGTGTTCTTGCTGGTTTTG